AGTTCGACTACCGCCGCATGAACAACTACTTCCACTACCGCCGTTGCAAGAACGTCTACTTCCCTCTACGAACTCGTTCCGCCCGAAACGCATGCTTCGAAGGTATAACCCCGAGATGACCGCCGTGAATGAATGCATGTGTGATGTATGAGATGCTCGTGCTTGCACCGTGCTCGATTTGTCGGTGCAAGTTGCCCTCTTTTACCTTGTCACCGTCATGTGGGAACCCGGTAACCGGGAGCACCCCACCTTCTATCGCATGTCATGCTCCCGTCGCACTTTCTTTGCACCGGGATCTCAATCGAGTTATCGGAACCTGAACGTTGCCGTGGCACCGTTTCGTTATCGTTGCCGTGGCTCCCCTTTTCATTTCCGCCACGTTGACAAATGCTTCTTAATATGCCCTTGTCAACTTTTCTTAAAATTGCATAAAACTTGCACATGTCATCCGCATCATGATAACAACTTCAAGATTGGTTAAAATTGTTGTTGCACCAAATTGATAATTGCATATGGGGATTTACCGGTTTTGTTGTTTGTTATATCCAACCCCATTTAAATTGTTTAGATGGTGTAGTTTTGTTATGCCTCATCTCTTGCCATGTTTAACAACATTTAATATTGTTGGGTACCTAACCGGGAGTGAACTAAATAATGATTATGTGGTGTTTTGTCAATATGCATCCCGCTGCATATTGAGCTCCACTTAACTTGTAGTGTTGTTTGTGCATTTTGCCATGCCATGCTTCATTAAACCGGACATGCATCATACTTGATTGTGCATCATGCCATGATTATGTGGTGGTTGTTTACTATGTTGTTTGCTTCTTTCCGATGTTGCTTCTTCGGGTAGTTCCGATAACGTCGCGTTGTGAGGATCTGTTCGACTACGTCCGTTTGTCTTCTTCATGGACTCATTCTTCTTCCTTGCGGGATTTCAGGCAAGATGACCATACCCTCAAAATCACTTCTATCTTTGATTGCTAGATGCTCGCTCTTTTGCTATGCCTATGCTGTGATACCTACCACTTGCTTATCATGCCTCCCATATTGTTAAACCAAGCCTCTAACCCACATTGTCCTAGCAAACCGTTGTTTGGCTATGTTACCGCTTTGCTCAGCCCCTCTTATAGCGTTGTTAGTTGCAGGTGAAGATGAAGCTTGTTCTATGTTGGAACATGGATATTTTGTTGGGATATCACAATTTCTCTTATTTAATTAACGCACCTATATACTTGGTAAAGGGTGGAAGGCTCGGCCTTATGCCTGGTGTTTTGTTCCACTCTTGCCGCCCTAGTTTCCGTCATATCAGTGTTATGTTCCCAGATTTTGCGCTCCTTACGTGGTTGGGTTATAACGGGAACCCCTTGACAGTTCGCCTTAAATAAAATTCCTCCAGCAAGGCCCAACATTGGTTTTACCATTCGCCACCTAACCTTTTTCTTTCCCTTGAGTCGGCCGGCTCAAGGGTCATCTTTATTTAAAATCCCCGGGCCAATGCTTCTCTAAGTGTTGGTCCAACCCAGAGCACCGTGCGGGGCCGTCCCTTGGCAACTTGGGTTACGTTGGCTCCCGTACGCTTAGCTTATCCGGTGTGCCCTGAGAACGAGATATATGCAGCTCCTATCAGGATTTGTCGACACATTCGGGCGGTGTTGCTGGACTTGTTTTATCATTGTCGAGGATGTCTTGTAACCGGGATGCCGAGTCTGATCGGATTGTCTTGGGAGAAGGAATATTCTTCGTTGACCGTGAGAGCTTGTGATGGGCTAAGTTGGGACACCCCTGCAGGGATTTGATCTTTCGAAAGTCGTGCCCGCGGTTATGGGCAGATGGGAATTTGTTAATGTCTGGTTGTAGAAAACCTGAAGTTGACTTTAATTAAAATGCATCAACCGCGTGTGTAACCGTGATGGTCTCTTCTCGGCGGAGTCCGGGAAGTGAACACGGTGTTGGAGTTATGTTTGGCGTAGGTTGTTCTAGGATCACTTCTTGATCATAGTTTTATCGACCGTGCCTTGTCTTCTCTTCTCGCTCTCATTTGCGTATGTTAGCCACCATATATGCTAGTCGCTTGTTGCAGCTCCATCTCATACCTTTTACCTTACCTATAAGCTTAAATAGTCTTGATCGCGAGGGTGTGAGATTGCTGAGTCCCCGTGACTCACAGATACTTCCAAAACCAGTTTGCAGGTGCCGATGTTACCGAGCAGGTGACGCAACCAAGCTCAAGGAGGAGCTCAGTGAAGATCTTGTCCTTTGTGTCGTTTCGTTCTAGTTGATCAGTAGTGGAGCCCAGTTGGGGTCGATCGGGGATCTGTGTAGCATTTGGGGTAGTCTTCCTATTTTGGGTTCCGTAGTCGGACCTTGAGTGTATCTGGATGATGTAATGATTTATTCATATAATTGTGTGAAGTGGCGATTGTAAGCCATCTATGTATCTTTTTCCCTTATGTATTACATGGGTTTGTGTGAAGATTACCTCACTTGCGACATGGCTTTCAATGCAGTTATGCCTCTAAGTCGTGCTTCGACACGTGGGAGATATAGCCGCATCGAGGGCGTTACATGTGTGCCAGGAGGGCATATCCCCGACGGTTTCTGGGTTGTGTGGGAAAGACCCCCCTATCGCCCACTCACTTGACGATGGTTCCAAATGCCATCACGGAAAGGGGTTAAAAACCGTTTGTATAGCACCTCGCTGTACCAGTGCATGCACCATGGATAGATGAGTCGCTATGTCTTCGGGCATCACACCCCGGGCATCAGGGGGTAAGCCGGACAGAGAATCCGCCAAAGGAATGACACCCGTATGTTAATCACCTCGGCTAAACTACATGACGAGCAAATTCTTCGAAAATCACGACTTACCAAAAATCATGTCATCAGTTTGCCGATTCTTCGATTAAGCGGCAGTCAGTCGAGCTTTTAAGCTCTCAATCTCCTAGGCCTGTTGGGCGTTCTCAGCCCTGAGCGCATTAACGCCGTCCACCCTTTGAGTAACCACATGTTGGTTTGCTTGACGCTGCGACTCTGCATACAAAAGATCCCCGTGGGCCTGCTTAAGGTCTCTTTCATGATGACCTAGGGCTTCCGGTGCTACAAGGGATTATGGCATCAAGGCTATCTCATTCCCTCTATAGCACCGATAAACGTTGGTAAGAGCACTTACTGTGCGCCTCCCTGGTGAATTTCTTCACCTGTTCCACCTCGGTCAGAGCAGCGTCTAGCTTCACCTTTGTTTGGGCCAACACCTCGGTCAGCTGATCATTATTCAACCGAGCCTCCTGTTAATGGCAACAAGCACTGATTAGCATTCAAGTCTTGATACGATCCCAGGGGCCCATACCAAGCCTTAGGGGCTACTACCGTAATTGGTAGTCTTATTCGTCTTCAAACAAATAGGTGAAATCCTGAAGCAACAAGAACTCGGGTAAATCCTTACTCGCAAACCCCGCGACGAGACATCCAACGATTGATCAAAGGCACCTCAGGCTGCCCCACAGTATGCATCTACCGCGCTGAGGGCATTGAACTCCTGATCCGAGAAGGCCGAATTCCTTAGAGAAGCTTTCCGTCCGCAATAATTCGCGGCACATTGGATCTTGGACGGAGTAGCCGAGCTGGTCGCTGAGTCCTCGTGCTGAGGGGCCTTAGAGGCGATTCCCGCGGAGGTACGAAGGCCATCGGAGCCATCAACAACGAGGATGGAGATGACGAAGTTGCGAAAGGCAGCGCAACGGCAGACGAGAAAGCATATGTGCGGGAGGCGGTGGTGATGGGCATTGCATGGCGATGATGGTCGGGACGGGAACCTGTGCGAGAAGGAGGCGTCATGCGAGGGGATGAGGGACGAAAAAGGTCGATTGGGGGTAGGTTGGCGGAGGGAAGGAACCCTAATCACCTTCATGTCGCTAATCTCATCCCCGCTGGATGACATGACAAGAGTATATGTGAGAGGGTAAAAATTGTTGCTATCGTGCGTAGGGTTGAGTCACTCTAGGTTTTCTTTCAGTTTTGTAGAAATGATAAAACCAGGAATAAAGGAGGTGGGAAGCAAGAGGAGCGGAATATAGAGGAGATATAATCACTAGTTAAAGAGTATAATACCGCAAAAAGGAAAATATTGCAGGATTAGCATGGAAAAAAGGGCCGGTGAAGTTCACGAACATATACTACTCCCTCCGTCTCGGTTTAGAGGGTGTGTGCGTAGTTCTAGGTCATCCATTTAACTAACTAAATATGAGTTATATGTCATTAAAAGTATATCATTGGATTTTTAAGCGGATGTAGTTTCTAAATATATATTTTTCATCACATATAATACATATATAGCTAGTTAAATTATTAACCTAGAACCACATATATGTCCTGTAAACCGAGACGGAGGAAGTAGTAAAGAAGTGGCAACGGCACGGGCAAAGGCATCCTAAAAATAGTGCAATATATTTTATTGGCCGTAGTTACACTTGCTAAATTATTTCTAAAATTGTTTCAAGAGCCAGGGCAAATCGGTCAAATCAACCCTAGTCCTGTCTCCGCTTACGTATTGTAACTCGCCGTGCGCGCAGAAAATCTGCACGAAATCGAAGGACGGTCGCACGGACGGTGCCACGCGACTGACTGGTGGGGCCACGCACCTCGTCCTTCCTCCCCGTCACTACTGGCATTCGCCTCCGGTCAGGTGCGCCCCCAAAAGGCCAAAAACCCCTGCAAATGCTGTTGGCCTGTTCTTAAATCCCTTGCTCCTCTCGGCGATTCCGCTCCTTGCCACCGCAAATCCGGCCAAGGGAGCCTCGTCCGGTGCGATTGATCCACTCTGAGGCTCTCGACGTCCCATTTGATCCATCGTCGTGCCACTCTGGAATCTGGGTGGATTTCTGGTCCGGGTTCTGGGAAAGGTGAGTCTTTTCGCTCCTCTTTCGGTGATTTTACTCCCCAATCTTATGGATTCCCCTCCTCAAATCCTGCCAGTCTGCAGCTGAATCTCTGATCCGACAATGGATCTCGACATGGACGACTACATGGACCCCTACGAGGAGGCCGAGGCCGAGGCCGCCGCGGAAGCCGCCGGCGTGACCGGCCCAGGCGCCGCATCCGCGGACGAGGAGTCGGACGGCGAGGACGACTCGGAGGCCGAGAGCGACTACGAGGAGGAGTCCTACGGCCTTCTCAAGTCCGGCAAGCACCGGGTGCGCAACCCGGACGGCACCTTCCGCTGCCCCTTCTGCCCCGGCAAGAAGAAGCAGGACTACAAGCTCAAGGACCTCCTCCAGCACGCCGACGGCATTGGCGTCTCCAGCAAGCACCGCCGCCACGGCCGGGAGCGTGCCTTCCACCGTGCCTTTGCCCGCTTTGTCCGCGCCGAGCCGTCCTTTGCGCAGGAGCTCTCCACTATCGTTGGGATTCCCGGTGCCACTGTAACTGCTACTGCTAATGCAGATGCCACTGACAAAGGAAAGGCCGTTGCCAATGGTCACACCAGTGGATCCAGTGCTGTGGCAGTGACTGAGGGACCACCACAGGATGGCGAAGAGAAGTTTGCTTGGCCATGGTGTGGAATTCTTGCAGCTGGTGCAGGGTTCAATGCTGAAAACTTTGCAGATAGAGTGGCCATGTTTAGCCCAGAAGACATTGTGCCTTTAGTTTTCGATGACACAGAAAAGTCGGAATGCTTTGCAATTGTGCGGTTTAGTCCTGGCTGGGGTGGATTTAGTGACGCTCTCGCACTTGAGAACCAATTCAGTGTAAATAAGCTTGGGAAGAAGGAATGGGAGGCAAGGAGCAGCTGTGGAGGTGCTGTGGACGGCGAGGAGAACGAGAATGGTGAGGTTAAGGTTTATGGTTGGGTTGCCCGAGAGGTGGACTACACTGCTGGGGGTTTGGTGGGAAGATACTTGAGGAAGCATACTGACATTAAGACCATAGATGAGATTACCAAGAGTCAGAGGGAGCCATTGGGGAAGATTGTGGCAGCACTGGCAACTCAGCTCGAGGCAAAGAACCAAGACTTGCAGGATCTGGAGACAAAGAAGAATGCAACAGAATTCTCCATTGCAAGGCTTGAGGAGGACAATAGGAGGCTGCATGAGGCATATAATGAAGGTACACTGTGCTGCTTCATTTTCTGTAGATGTACCTGTCTGTACATGGTTTCTGGTCGTGTGCCTTTGCCTGATGGTGCAGAAGATCATTTACCCATGTGCCACTTGGCTACTAATGTTACTGAAACTTGATGAAACCGAGTGATTCAGTCGGTACCTTGTATTTCTGTCTTAAACTACTTGCTAAAAAATCATTTCTAACTGAATGTTAAGACCCCTGAATGATCAACTCTTGTGGGTTTCTATCTATTTATGAATGCAGTATTTGGAGAAATAGTGCTCTTTGTTGATTAGACAGGCAGCAGGAGTGCATAACCAGGACTTTTGTTGGCCTTTCATTATGGATGTAATTTCTTCTTTTGTCTCTTATCTGCTTTAACATTGAATACTATGAAATAATGTTGGTTACGTTTTACAATGCATAGTTTTTTTTGCCATTGCAAAATAATTAAAGTAGTGTTGCTCTACCACACACCAATATGCAGCATCTTAATGAGTTTTGCGTTTTCCCCTTCAGAAATGCGCAAGCTGCATCGCAAGGCTCGTGACAATGCTCTGAGGATTTTCCAGGACAATGAAAATTTGAAGCTTGAAATAGAAAATAACAAGAGAGAAATGGTTTTGCGTGCTAAGCAGCTGGAGAAGTTGTCAGTTGAGAATGCCAACGACAGGAAAAAACTTGCAGAACTTTCTGATGAGAAGCAAAAGGTAAACTAAATAACTGTCTGTGTGAGGTACTAAGCTATGCGAATATAGTCTCCTATCATGCCTACAATACACATTAGGAATATTCAGGACATCGACTTTTTTTATACTATTTTAGTGGCTAACTTCAAAATGATACACTACTATGAATTTTCAGGATATCAACTGCTGTTTATGTTTTTGAGTTGCTAACTTCAAAATGAAATCAAGATTGTTACCTGCTGCTTTCTACATTTTATGTTAAATTTGTACCAAGTCATTTAGAGGGATATATAACATGACAATAATTTCATTTTGACATGGTATCTGTTACTTGTTTGTCTAAATTATATGCTATTGTTTAGCTTTTAGTTTATGGGCAGCTCATTTCTTTCTACAGCATAAGAGTAACGCTGAATAATTTTCTAGTTTCCCATAAAGCTACAGTTGCCACTTTCAAGGTATTGAACACTTCTAAACATGGAATATATGATATGATTGCACAAGTGCATACTGTAATTTAAGATATATTCCTATCTTGATCCCCCTTCTACAGGCAAAAGACGATAAAAGTGAACTTGAGCTGGCAAGTATAGAACAGCAGAGGAATGATCAGGATATTTTGAAGCTAGTCGAGGACCAGAAGGTTTGCTACCTTTCTTTACTTATGTTATTTCCTAGATCGGTGCTCGACCCTGGAGATAAGAACTAATCGTGGGAACAACAGAGGGAAAAGGAGGATGCCCTCGCAAGAATGCTTGAGCTGGAAAAGGAGCTGCATGAGAAACGAGAACTTGAGCTCGAAGTGACACGATTGAATGGCACACTCCAAGTGATGAAACATTTGGAAGGAGACGATGATGGGGATATTCATGACAAGATGGAGAAGCTTAGTGAAAAGCTAGAGCATGAAAGGAAACGCCTGGAAGAGCTGAGCGGAGAGCTGGTGAGGAAAGAGCGTGAAAGTAATGATGAGTTACAGGAGGCCCGAAAAGAATTGATAATGGTAGTGCTCCTTTCTCTGCCACGTTTGGAAATTTCCTTGCACTTAATGAATTTTAAATTAGTTGATGAATTGGCTTTCTTTCATTGAATAGTTACTATCACCATGAGCAGGGTTTGGAGGACATACTCAGCGGGCGGACAGCTATCGGTATCAAAAGGATGGGCGAACTTGATGAAAGACCTTTTCAGAATGCATGCAAGAGAAAATATGGAAATGATGATCATGAGACGAGGGCAGCAGAGCTGGTCTCGAGTTGGCAGGAGGAGATAAAGAAGCCAGCCTGGCATCCTTATAAGTTTGTTAAGGCTGAAGACGGAAGTGACAAGGTATCTACTAAGTTTATCTACATTCAATTCCTTTGTATTGTTAGAGGCTACTGTTTTTTCATGACAATCCTCGGGTAATGCAGGAAGTTGTAAATGATGAGGACCCAAGACTGAAGCAATTGTGGATCGAATATGGTGACGATGTGTGCAATGCAGTGAAGACCGCTCTGAGCGAAGTAAATGAGTACAACCCGAGCGGAAGGTACGTGGTGTCAGAGCTGTGGAATTTCAGGAAAAACCGTAAGGCGACGATGAAAGAGGTGCTGAGGTTCATCTTCCAGCAGATGGAGGTGCCCGGCAAGCGCAGGAGGGGTTGATGAACCCTGGGCTGTTTTATTAGCTCTAGTAGGGTGTATGCCTGCTGGTGGTGCCATTGTAGTAGGAGTCCTGACATGGGAGTTGTATTATCTGCATGACATTCTCTTCTTCAGATTAATGCTGTTTGTTCCAGAACTGACATGATCAGTAAACTCAATAATAGCCTTTGGGCTTTGGCTGCTAGCATATGTGTAGATTGTGCAGGTGTATATTACCTCCGTCTCAAATTACTTGTCTTAGATTTTTCTAGATACAGATGTATCTAGACACGTTATTACATACATATCTATCTAGACAAATTTAAGACACGTAATTCAGGGCGGAGGGAGTATTATATATGTATCTTTATTTTTCTGTGCAACGTTGTGAGTTGTGGTACTGATCTTGTTGCGACATCTTCAGCGACCTTGAGCATGTGTCAGTTTGATAGTTGGAGAGCCAAAACGTTTTCTTTTAGAGCTGTTTGGTGAAAGCTGCATTTTTGCTGATCGGAAGATGTTTAGGTGTGAGAGAAAGAGAAGGTACTGAAAACAAATTAGAAGGGAACTTTGCTGGGTAAGGTAACTGATGCTGGCACTTCTGATGCATTGACATTCCTCACAAAAGTAGGAGAGCTTTAGAATCACATTGGATGTTGTCCTTTTTCTCTCGATGAATTTTATAAATGCATAAACATTTGGATGAAGACAATGGTTGGGATATTCATGGCACTAGATATCAAAATGCTCTAGGATGTTTGGCAGCTACCATGCAAGATTGCACCTTTATATGTTACTCCCTCCATTCACAAATATAAGATGTTCTACCTTTTTTCTCAATCAAATGTACTACATAGATATACGTACGTTCTAGTGTGTTCGTTCACTCATTTAGTCTGTATATATAATCCATATTGAAATATCCAAAACATCTCATGTTTGTGAACGTAGGGAGTATTTTTAACACTGTACCTTCATGAAAAGTTCGTGTTTCTTTTGAGACATTGAAAAGTTTCTGTTGTCTCACAGCCAAAGAAGATAAAGCAGAACATGGATTTTTTTTTTCAAAGCTTGGACCAAAACTCCACATCGGCCTGCTTGCCAACGAACAATATGACGGCCCAATATATATTCTCCACTCGGTGCATAGGGTTCAGCTCTTCGCGCCCAGCTTCCGACACAGCGGCGCCCATCCGCACTGTTGTTGCAGCGGCTGGCCGCCGCACCGCCACTGTCCGGCCACGCCGTGCACGTCGCTCCCGTCCGCCTTGGAGGATTCGTCCCCCTTCACCAGCGGCAACCGGTCGATCGCAGCCGCGACAAACGTGGCCACCATTACCACCACCGGACCGGCGGCCACGAGCCCTCCCTCCGCGACGGCGCCGCCCAGGACGCTGCCTCGCGGCCCGGCCAGGAACACCGCGACGCCCGCCGCTGACGCCGAGGGAGACGGGAAGAAGCACCCTGCCAGGCTCAGGATCTCCGTCGTGCCGCGGAGCACCAGCGCCGGCTCCCTGAGTACGACGTCCGCGACGTGCCCGGCCGCGCCCAGCACCAGCGCACCGCAGCGCCCGCGCCGCGCGAACGCCGCGACGCACGACAGGACGTCGCGCCCGGCGGGGACCTCCAGGACGTGGGCGCGCATCGCGCTGGGGCACTCGTGCGCGATCACCACCGGCGCCTTGGGCCCGCGGTTCTTGGAGGAGGAGATCTGCGCCGCCGGCCTCGGCCTGCACGGCTGCCGGAGCTTGTCCGGAGCGGCCGTCGTCGCGGCGGCTGCGGTGGCCATGCCCATGGTAAAAAGATTTTTTGTGTGTGTGCTTCTGCACGTCCCTTGTGGAGGTTAATTACAGGGGTTAGATGGCTTTTTAAGGGCGGGGTCGGTGTTGTTCGAAGTACGAGTATAAGCTGTTAAGCAGGGAAATACGCGTGATGAGTAGTTTAGTGGTAAAGTGTTCGAACATCCTAACAAGCTCCCAACTGTACTGTGTGTGTTTTGTAAAACATTTTCCGCGGCGCGGAGTAGGTATGGTGAGTTTGTTGTGCGAGGTGGTTCATGTTTTACACTTTTACTTCATTTGGTACAGGACTAAAATTGCTTTGTGGGATGAATCATTCTCAAGATTCAAGAATCAATGGTTCTGCCGGGCACCAAAATTTTCAAGTCAGGCTCCAGACCACATGGCAGAAAAAAACATCCATTTGTTGAAATGGGCATATGGAAGAGCCTATCAAAGGAAGACGAATCCTATTTGACGTTGCATGTGCCCATTAACGTATATCCGCAAACAGATACGCTAAAAATCAGCCGACTGAGTTCTAATGAAGTCTCAGTCGACGTGTCTGGCCATCGGATCGTTTTCAGCTTTTAGATTTGTTATGAGGTCGTGGCTTATGTCGTATAGGCCTGTCCCGGGGGTGTGACCGGCCGTTGTCTTTTCTTTTTTGGCTGTAGGACCGGCTTACGCGATGAGTTGGGCCCAAAGGTGGGGGTTGTGGCTTCCTTGTCTGTTTGTTGGGCTTTCTGTTTGACTTCATTCACTGAATAGTCTAAGAAAAGGCTTGGGGTTTATGCATAAATCAGCTTAGAGTAGCATGGTCAGTGTGTTCTATTTTTATTCTTGTTATTGTTAGTTATAATTGTTCCAGTACACACGACTATGTGTAATTTTTGGCGTGTGAAAACGTCAAAATCATTGTATACTTTTTGCGTGTGGACAACACATGTATTGTATTTTTCTTTCTTATGTTGGGACATCTGTGTAAACACATTTTTAATTTATTTTTAGTTTTATAAAATGTGTGGAAGTGTTGTTATCTCGTGTAAATCTGCCCATACAACCAACATTTTTTCTTGGTTTTTTCGCATCAAAGCAGGGTATGGGCGGTGGGTTGGGGAAGGGGGCCTTTTTCGTTGTCTGTTGGGGCTTTCTTATTTTCTTTGTTGGGCTGCAACTTTTACATGGTGGGAGAAGGGAGCGGATGCGAGGCATTGATTATTTCCTCCCAACTATAGCTGGCCTTGTGTTTTTCTCAGAGAGCGGAGGGATAGGGGCGGGCCATTGCAAGTCCGACATTAGGCTAGCAACTGCAAGTGTAGCCCTCGACTGTAGATGCATGCTTACAGACCCAACCGTAATTGGCCCTTTGTTTTGTTGGTGGGTGGTGGGAGAGGGGGCAGTTGCATGTCCGGCACTAGGGTTG